AAGTTAGTTTCACCATGCAGACTTTGCAAATGTAGATATAGGCTTTTACTCTAATATTAATGTTTCAAGAAAGTATAACTTTTTTTAGTGATGTGCATTTAAAGTCCTTCAGATGAAAGCTTGCAATGAATAAATTTAATGTTACATTGTAATTAGCAGTTAAAAGTAAAGGTGTATAAAAACCTCTAGTCAAAACATGATAAACTATACAGTTCAACAGTGTTAACTAGCCACTTCTTTACAACATACTGGACATGTCTACATGAGATGCTTAACTTTGCATTAGCATAGTTTACTGTGAAATAAGCATGTGCACATGCTTACTTTGCAGTAAGCCTCCCTAATATCGAGTAGATTTGCTACGTGCAAAATGCAAGTAGCAAATTTACTTGGTATTGGTAACTGTGACGTAGGACTCGTGTAGACTCCTGACTGGGAGCAAAATCTGCTCCTGATCAGCCATCCACCAGGGGGCGGGAGAGCTCCCTGCCTGGCTCCACCACACAAGCCCAGGCAGGGACTAAGTCCCCTTGCCCTGGCAGCAGGGAGCTCCAAGCCTGCTCCCAGATCATAGTCAGGGCTGGGAGACCTTTATCTCCCAGCCTGAGCTTGGGCTGGGAGACCCTTTATCCCAGGAGCTGGGCAGGGAACAAGTTGTCCAGACCCTGCCCTGCGTGCCTGGGTGGGGACAATGTCACCCTGCCCCGGCAGCAGAGAGCTTCCACACCCCGCTCCCCTAATCACAATGGCAGAGCAGGGGCTGAGAACAAGTTCCTTAGCCCCAACCCTGGGATCACAATGGCAATTGCGGAGCAAGAGCTCGGAGCTCCCTGTATGGGGACGGTTCCCCACCTGGCTTGAAGGTGGCTGCAACCTGCCCCTGACCAGGACAGTTCCCAGCTAGCTGCCCCACTGGCAGATAGGGGCAGCGGGCTGGGACCTGCCCCTTCCCAGCAGCTCTTTCCAAGACCTGTGCCCCTGATCTGGGAGTCAGGGCAAGGAGCTTCCTTCTTCCAGGACAGGAGGACATTGTCCCTGCCCCAGCAGCAAGCAGCCCCCTGGGGCCAGGAGACAGCTGTCTCCTGACCTGGTGCTCCTTTCCAGACTCTGGGCTAGCACCAAGGGGGAGTCTGCAGCTCCTCCTAGTGGCAGTAGGTGCCCACTGCAGGGAACTGAGAGCAAATTTACTCCATAGTCCCCACATGTGTACACACCTACCCAAAAAACCTGACTGCACAGTAAATCTAGGCTGGAGTAAATGTGTGTGTAAACACGCTCACTCATTAGCTGATATTTGCAATCAAACACAATCATCAATAGTAAGAATACTATCCACAAGATATTGCTTGAATAGGCAAAGAATTTTCCCAATCTTGGTTAAGTAATAGATTAGCAGAAAAACAAACTAGATTTTAAAGCATAAATGAATTAAAAGTTTAAATAGGTTTAACATTTTTCACCAACATGGATAGTTCTATCAAAATCAGAGAAATATTTTCCCAAGTTTCAGTGATAAAAAACATTATTTTGCCAAACACTATAAAGCACCTAAGCAGATTATTAGTGTCCTTTTTTTTGGCTAAAGTGACCAATAAAAATTGCATTTTACAATCTGATTTATAAAAACTCTTGCATACTTTTGCACAATGTACAAATAGTTCTTCTGAATTGTTTAGTGGAAAACACATTAAATAATTCATCTGACAATTGGGGAAAAATGGCCAAAATTCAGTCTGATATTGCTTCCCAAAAGATTTCAGATCTAAACACAGCACAAAGTCCATTTGTCTGAAACCATTTGTCTGAAATCAAACATCTAAGCTAGCATGCTGGCTGTCGTCGTAGCCTTCGATGCAGTGAGACACACGATGCTGCTTATCCTGTCTACAGGACTTGGCGGAAATATTTTTTCTCTCTCTTCTGAGAGATTGCGTAGAGTAGTGATAGTCACCTACCTTTCTTCAAAGGATTGTGATTTCTTCAAAGATTGTGGATTGCAATCTCACAGAAATAAATCCCACTTTTCTTACTCAAGATCTGTGCAAGGTCACTTAAAGATGAGACGCATCATTCATTTTAATATAACCAAAATATGCCAAACACCTACTGTGTTACTTTCTGCATATGAGGAAACAACAGAGCTTGAGCAAAAAAATTACTTAATACTATTTCTTTTTGCATCATACACTTAGCATCCTGGCTTGACTTGAAATAACACCTTTCCAAAATGTAGTACCCAGTCGGGCTGCTTTTTTGTGAATTTCATTGCTCAAGTAATTGTCAACGGTACCAAACATTTGATTTGCCTTTCAATCATTTCTTCCTCACTTTTTAAAAAATATGGCTTCCTTCTCTGGATCATAAATACTTTTTTTATTTAATATGAAAAGCAATGGTGACAAAAAAAAATCTCGTGCAATAACAACTCACAGACATTTAGTTTTGATGTAATATATTATACCAGCAAAACACAAAAAACCAAAACCAAAACAAACAAACAAAACACACATAAAACCCCGCAAAACCAAAAACCCAATGGATTTTACAGCTACATGGAAAGGGCAGCATGAAAATCAAATAAATAAATATATACAAGATTCTGCTTTATGGATCATAAAATTCAACAATTTTTCTATACAAATATAGTTGAAGCAGCACCTATAGTAGATTACAAATAGCCAATCTGATAAGAACTTTAGAAAGAGCAATAAAAACAAGGACTGAATGGACCATATTAAAAAATAAAAACACAGTATATAGTTACACTACTAACTCTAAATACATAGAACTGCTTCTATGCATTTGAAAAAGTTAAATGCCAAGAAGGAAGCAAATTTATTTAGTATAATTATGGGGATTTAATTGGGAGAAATGAAACAGAAGAAAATTTAGCCCGAGTCCCAAAATAAGTTCCTGAACGTGGACCTTATTAGGTTTTGTAAACTTTCCCAAATGAAACTGAACAAGTCCCAGGGCTTGCACCAACAAGATACTGAACAATATACTCTAACAAACAACCCTGCACTGGGAGACAAACCAACTAAATGATCGAATAGCAACTATCCAAAATTGTTTTTCTCAGGTTCAGTGATTAAACAGCACCATCTAGTTACAGAACTAGGAATAGTAGCATCTGGACAGCAAAAAGAACTAGCATAATTTTTGGTGTGTGCTGCTTGCAATTAATTCTGTAGACACTGCATGCCACAATATCACTCATTTAGTCTTGCCATTGTCTAAACACTGATGGACCTCTTTAATTCAAGCAGACTGATATTCAGTTGAGATCTCTTAGTTAAAAGGCACTGATAATATTTCACTACAACTGTTTTATTATAAGAGACATTACCATAGAAGCTTTATTTGTAGTTCAGAATGTTTTAAAGTAAAATAAGGATGATGGACACAATAAAATTCACTTAGAAAACATTATCATTTTGGAAATTACATAGTCTTTCTGTTTTGAAGATGCATTCATTATACTATGTAACCAATTTAAATTGTGGCTACTTTTCCCCTAGGCAAGGGAAGGAAAGGAGGAGTTGGAGATAGCTGTAAGTATCAGGTAGAAAAAAGATGGTCCTCCCTCTGACTAACTGCATTACTGTGAGGGTCCTCTTATCCTGGGAAAGAACACAAACACAAGGGTCTGTGATAGGCTAATTCACTGGATCTAGAAAGCAGGGCAAGTGGTGATGGACACGTTTAAGAAAAAGAAACAACATCCCAGTCTTAATATAGACCACCCCAAGATTGTAATCCCATGATCTAGGAGTTAACACTAGGTCATTTTTGGCATAGTAATTAAAAGGACACTAAATCTTACTAGCTGTACATAAGATTAGTATTTCAGGTCATTCACTGCCCTATTTTTCATTCACTTGGAAACATTTAAGCTTTCCAAGGGGTTTGACTCCTTACCCACTGATATGCCAACAGCTGTCCTATCACAAAAACATTTAAGAAGTGATCTGTGTTATTAAAAGGGTCAAAAATCTTTCAAGGGAATTGTTCATGTCAATTTACATACAAAATTATTCTAGTTATTCTAAATGGCAGGTGAATTAGGAAAGTCAACCTAAACACTTATCTACCCTTGGAAATTAATTTACAATAAGCCATTGACAAGGCTCAAACACAAAAGGTTACTCAGGATGAAGACAAAAGACAGGCAATATTATCTATATACTTTAGCCCTGGCTGCAAAGAAGATAACTACTGGATTCATAAAGTTGTGTCAAAGAATCAAGATACAACTCCACTTCATAAGGCTAATAGTATTCTAGATCCTATTTTGTTTAGGAATCTATGAAAGCTGTTGCTGGGTAACACAATGCTGCTCTTCAAATGCCCAAAGGAGAGGTAAGATTAAAATCACAATGATATAGCCGTACAAATTCAGATTATACCCAATTAAAACTAGAGCATCTTGAAATTTATAAAACTCCTTGCTTATAGTGCACCATTCCTGTTAAAATTATGCTACTTCAATTACAATACAATTAAATCAGCTGCTTCTGAGCATTAGTAGTATAGACATATGGCTATTGCAGCTAGAAAAACGTGGGGGAAAAGAAACCCTACAGGATAAAGACAGACAACTTGTAAAAACAGCTACACAAACAAAGACTGAAAGACATTAAAAATGCAAGATAGAGACCAATATGGAAACTTACAATTTAAAACAGAGAGAAAGAGACATGAAAAATCAAGGACTGAAAATGATGCAAAAACAGAAGAGATGGGGGGGGGGGGGGAAAAGGGGGGGGGAAGGG